TAAAAATGAGAAATGGTCAGAGACTTGCATTGTTTACAAGTTTCAATATAACGAAAGTCTGGCTGTTTATCTAGAGCAGATAAAAAGGAAACTCAAACAATGAATTAAGGAACATGAAAATACTCCAATAGACAGATTACTACCGATACCTAAACATCTTACTGAAAATTCGATGCACCGTTTTGATTTTAACAATGTTAAAATTTTAGACAGAGATTAGTAAGAATAAAAGATTAATTTCCGAAATGATATTTATTGATACATACAGTAATACTATTAACAGACAAGAGGATACCCAATATCTCAGTAAACAATACAATAGTATTTTTAAGCTTCTTCGGGTAGCTCATCAGTAATTGTCGTATGATTGAAGTAGTCAAAATTATATTTAAAAAAAAATGTTTGAATACAATCACCTTTATTCTGAAAGTCTCAAAATAAGCTTAAATTATAATTTTTGACAATAGTCTGATTAAAAATTAGTTTATAATTTATAATAAAATAATAGTAATAGTAGTTATTAACTTGAATATATTATGTCTTACTTCGCATGCGCAGCTGACGGCTGATGCAGTCGTTAAAGCCAACTGTTTCGATCGTCGATCATAACATTAGTGTAGCCTCTCAACTATAGTATCAAATTGCTTGATTTTTTCAATGGTTAGTTGTTTGAAATTATATTCGTTATTCTGTAATGATTGCAATTTTCATTAATTGTTTGTCATGATTGACACAGTTGACGTAATAAAATGTTCAAAACCATATTGATTTGCAATAATTTTTATGAAATATCTATTCATAGCGAATATATGATACTTATTAGATCTCATGCAATTTTGAATTACGCGCTTCGGACGTTAGTCTGCTCACTTGTATATGGCAGACATCTTAATTTTGCAAATTGACGATAAGGCCACTTTTGTCGTTAAATATCTCTTCGAAATTCACGTCGACACTTATCTTTTATGATTTACGATTTAGAATCATTTGAATCTTTAAGAAATAATTATTACACAGTTAATTTATGAGTATGATCTCCCGTTTTTCTGCATAGTAATTAACCCATTAAGGCCCAGGCCAAACCTGGGAAAGATAGCGCCAAACTAACTATGCCAATCGTAGCTAAATCGTAAAAAAAAATACCCGTGTTTTTTCTTTTGCCATTTTCAATTGTTTATAAAAAATTATTTAAACAAATTATCAAAAAGTTATTATTTTCAAAAAACTGATAGCGGCAATCGATTCTACGGGAAGAAACATGAAAGAAATGTATATAACGTTTTTTTGTCAGACGTCAATTTGTTAGTGTAAAATGGCTATAAACAATTGCAAGTCTGTCAGGTACCTGTGTATACGCCAAATACCAAGCAAAATCTATTGCCGATAGCGCCAAACTAACTATGCCAATCGTAGCTAAATCGAAAAAAAATACCCCTGTTTTTTCTTTTGCCGTTTGCAATTGTTTATAAAAAATTATTTAAACAAATTATCAAAAAGTTATTATTTTCAAAAAACTGATAGCGGCAATCGATTCTACGGGAAAAAACATGAAAGAAATGTATATAACGTTTTTTTGTCAGGCGTCAATTTGTTTAAGAAAATAGGACAGAAAGCTTTGAATTTTCACAAATTGTACATTTGGATGGATGGATGAAGCTTCATAGAAATTTGAATGTATTATAGAAAATCGCTATTTTACAGTTATTTGTTTTTGGAACAAATTGACATTTGACAAAAAAACGTTATATACATTTCTTTCATGTTTTTTCCCGTAGAATCGATTGCCGCTATCAGTTTTTTAAAAATAATACCTTTTTGATAAATTGTTTAAATAATTTTTTATAAACAATTGCAAACGGCAAAAGAAAAAACAGGGGTATTTTTTTTTCGATTTAGCTACGATTGGCATAGTTAGTTTGGCGCTATCGGCAATAGATTTTGCTTGGGATTTGGCGTATACACAGGTACCTGACAGACTTGCAATTGTTTATAGCCATTTTACATTAACAAATTGACGTCTGACAAAAAAACGTTATATACATTTCTTTCATTTTTTTTCCCGTAGAATCGATTGCCGCTATCAGTTTTTTGAAAATAATAACTTTTTCATAATTTGTTTAAATAATTTTTTATAAACAATTGCAAACGGCAAAAGAAAAAACACGGGTATTTTTTTTTACGATTTAGCTACGATTGGCATAGTTAGTTTGGCGCTATCTTTCCCAGGTTTGGCCTGGGCCTTAATGGGTTGATAAATCAAACTTCACTTCTGGTCGGTCTTTCATAAGAGGTACGTTAAATTTGTAATAATCAAAAGGCTCGTTTTTAAAATTTTGCATGTTCACAGGGGCTTAAAATGTGACAGAAGGGTTCTCCGTATTTTTTTTAACCACCTTACAACATTTCATTACGATCTTCCATTTTTCAGTTCTCTGATGAACTACCTTAAATAGATTAATTGTTATTGGTTATCAAATATCATATTATTTCAAATATCCTTGTTTTATTAAAAATAAGCTTTGTTAATAATTCTATGTATATTAATAAGATCAATTTTGTTTTGTACTCGTGTTTTTCTCATTGTTTCTCTGTTTGACTTGTGACGTGTAACTTTTCGCTTGTATTTTGTATTGTGTTTTCTGATTGATATGTATTATATTATGAGTAGTACCTTGACTATTATGTTTATTTTATTCAACAAAATTAACAATAAATTTTTCGTTGACACATAGTAATCGATAATGTAATCTTGAAAAATTCTTCAGTTGTGTTGGTATGTTTTTGTTAGTCGATTTGATACGATTTTTATTGTAAAATTGTCATCATGTTTCTAAAACAAATTAATTCATTTTTTGAATAAATGACCTGATGAGGCTAGAGATAAACCAGTGAAATGTTGTTAAATATAAATTAAGAGGAGATAGTTTTTATTTATAGTATTTGGATCTCATTTCTTTGCTCTATAATTTTGCAAGATTAAAAAAAAAAGTATTTTTTGTAATTTTGACGTTCCGTAAAAGTTTTCGAGGCAAAAAATCGTGAAATGGTTTCCATTTTTGGTGTATAAAAGGTGATATCATTCTTGATCCGAAACGCTTCTGAATTTTTTTTATTTTTCTCAGTGCATTAAATGTAACATATACATGCGAAATAGCGTACTGGCAAGTGTTTGAAGGTTATGGCCACTTGAGTATATTACCCGTAAACTTAATGATATTGCTGGGTGTTATACGAGATACTGTACGTCGTATCAGTGATCGATCTCCTTGGTATTTTACGCAAAACTAAGATATCAAATAAACAACAATAAATTACACAGGCCGACAAAATTTGACGAAATCCAGACCCAGAGACCAGACCTAGTATACCCGAAGGAATTTGATGCGCTGAATCCAAATCTGGTCTCAGAATTGATCCATCACCTCCAGTTTCTGAGATATCTTAAACTAAAAGTGCAAAAAGACTGTTTTTGGCTGTTTTTGAACTCTTCTCATATCGCTAATTTCCATTTTAGACTAAAATAGAAATTAACGACGTGAGAAAAGTTTAAAAACAGCAAAAAACAGTCTCTTTTGCACTTTTAAGTTAGGATATATCAGAAACTGAGGGTGATCAATGAATTCTGAGACTAGATTCGGATTCAACGCATCAAATTCCTTCGAATACGCTATGTCTGGTTTCTGGATCTAAAAGCTGTCGGCCTATGTTATTTTAGATCAAAGTGATCAACGTAGAGTCAGTATTTTATAAGTTCATTATATTTATTTTATAATATACCAAATATGAATCCTCATAACTCTCAAACTATAATCAATAAGATAGAATGTTTCGCATGATTTTTATTTGTATCATGAATAAGTCCAGTAACCAAATTTGATCAAAATCCGCAATCTGAAGAGTAAGATCTCCCTTTATAACTTATTTTTTATTCTAAAAAATATTTCATTTTTCACGAAGGATAAGTATCGAATAAGAAAAGGTCTCACTACGATTGTAAATCAAATCCAAGGAAAATAATTAATAATTTTTGTAGAAAAAGATGGTCCCGTATAGGTTAAAATAGTATTTTTTCTTACGAGAGCCATAAGTAGCAACAAATATGCATTTTTTAGTATAATTAAAAAGCAATAATGTTTTATATTTTACTCAAGACAATTGTATACCGGGTGAGGAACAAGTATGGAAACCCCGGAAAATTCGGAAAACCGCATGAGGATAGTCATTAAACAAAGTTTATACCCTATGTAACTTTCAACGAGGAGCTCAACGGTGACCTCTGATTTAACCTTGAACCTCATTTTCAAAATTATTTCAAGGTCAACTTCATTTTTTCATATGGGAACCATGGGGAACGGGACAGATCTTCAAATTGCTTTTTATTCGTTTTCTAGCAAAAATCAACCCTGTTTTTGTATTTATAAAAAAATATTGTTTTCTCAGACGAAGCTACACGTTAATTAAATGGCGAAGTCAATCGCCATAACTTTAGATATTGGTCCAACATAAATCCTCATTGAATGAGATATAGTCACACTCAATATCCTCAAAAATTATACGTGTGGGCATAAATGGTAGGCGGTACAATAATGGGTCCTTTTTTTATCACAGGAAATTTAAACGTTGTAACTTTTGTGAAATCAGATTGTTTCAGCTATCCAGGCGTTAAGATGTGATGATTTTGAAAATACATGGTTTTAAGGAGGGTTAGGGGTCACGCTATCTTTAAGTCGTTCCCACCCGTAAAATATATCGCTATTTTTGTTCCAGTATAAAAAATAGGGGTTCCCATATGAAAAAATAAGATTGACCTTGAAATAACCTTGAAAATGAGGTTCAAGGTCAAATCAGAGGTCACTGTTGGGTTCCTCGTTGAAAGTTACATAGGTATGACCTTTGTTTCATGACTAACCTCATACTGTTTTCCGAATTTACCGGGGTTTCCATACATTTTTCTCACCCTGTATAAACCGTTGTATATAGTTTCTAGCTTATTTACTTACTTGTCTTGTGATAGACTGGGAAGTTAGCAATAACCTATCGCTAGTATCACTTCCGCAACTAGAACTTTCACTCATTTCTAATGAATGCTTTCTTGATGATCGAGGACTTGACACGGTCCCTTTGCAACATGCCCCAAGATGAATCATTGTGCTTTTTCCACAAACTTGGGATTGTATATGTTCACATATCCTTCGAAACCGTCGAATGTTTCCTAAAAATTAAGTTTAATATTCCTTATGAGTTCAAAAATTAAATTTTAATAATTCATTATTTACACAGTACAAAAAATATCTTACCATTGTGGAGTGTAAAAGTTATTGCAAAAAGAGAATCTGATGATTGTTTGGAAATTTCACTTATATCAACTTGAAAACGGACCTGCCTTTGAAACATTACGGGCCCGGTACTGTTTCTTCTGTATTCTACTCTGAATGACATAGGAGAATTTACATTGTGGGATAGTTCAGCTATCTGCAAAAATTCGACGTAGTCATTTAAAAATAATACCATTGTTACATTTAATGTATAAAAATGTAATATTTTATATTTTTTTATTATTCTTGCAGATATTATATTTATAGAAAAAATTTAAATCATTTTTTAATATTTTATTTAACAATGAATTTTTGTTTACTTATAAATTCACTTTTAGATTGTGTTACTATAATATCTTAATCTTTTATCCACCAATTTTACCCTCTGACAGATTGCAGCATTTTCTTTGTTGCAATTAACATTATTTTTGTATCGTTTATGTAATTAATATATGTACTTTGAATAAATAAATAAGACAATTTAATTATTATTTATTTAGTGATTGAACATCGAGGTGAACAGACATGCCAACACTGTGTTCTATCCAAAAAACTAAAGTATTAGCTTATCAAGTGACATGATAGTTAAATTTCTATTAGTATTCTCCAAACGCATAATAAAAAGGAAATAACGGCCAAAATAGCCACTTTGATAGGAGAATAAAAACAACGACGAAAACTAGAAAATTGTATGTGGCAAAAAATCGCGAAGCAGCCTAGACAACCAAAATGTGTACATAAAGCAACAAGCCAAATAACTGGATTACTGGCTAAGTAAATCAAGAAATAAATACGAGCTACTGCAAGGCAATAAAAAAAATCAAACTCAAGAAAAAAATACTGAGAACAGTGAGGTAAATACGTAGAAAAATAAATCACCTCTTATTTTTGTACACAACGTAGAAGATATTCGTCCAATAAGATAACTATTGAACGAAATAACAAAAAACAGTTATGTACTAAAAGTAATAGGACAAAACAAAATTAAAATCCAATAATCAATTTCAGAAAAATACCTATCAAACATTAGGGCACTATGAGAAAGAAACACACTATTCCACACATGCTAGCATAAAGAAGATGAAAGTTTCAAAGTAGTATTAAGAAGCATGTACTCTTCAGTAGATTTTGGAGAATTGAAAACTGCTATAAAAAAATATGGATACAAAGTATTAAGCATCCGTAATATGCAGCATCTTTTTTCTAAATTGCCAATGTAGTTATTTACTGTTGAAATTTATTTTTATTTACTCCAAATTTATTTACAGTCTGTCTCTTACAATAAAACAATAAGTAAATGTGATTACTATTATGACAAGTTAGCATTTAACATATACATGCTCTCTCATTTTAATCTATGTAGTCAAATATCTTCAAACGCAAGCCAGATACAAAAATTGATTTAGACGAAAATTGTTCGTATCAATGGGGGTTGGGATGGGTCAACTTTTGGTTACTTTAAAATTGACCTTGAGGTAATTTTCCAAGGTCATTTAAAAATTAAAACCACTTTTTTAAATGAGAAATCCTTATTTATGATGTCGGAATCGAATACAGCGGGAATTTTTACTTCCAAAATCATATTTCAAATATTTTTTTTATGACCTCCACAAGGTTCAACCAAGGTAAAATGCTTAAAAAATAGTCTGAGTCAGAAAAATGTCATATTTGTCTCGAGCAGAACAGACCGTCATAAACCCAAACAATCATAGAATATCTTCCTTGTAGATACAACTAATTATACCGCCTAGCTACTGCACGATAATTACCTTTATATTGCCCTAAAACCATTATCATGTCAAATATTTAATCAGCTGGATAATTCACAGAGACAATAAAAAAGATCTGTACTTAATAAAAGATCCATCAACTCATGAATTTTGATGTGCTAAAACCAAATCTGGGGTAGAATTATGCCATCACCCTCCATTTCTTATTAAAACTCAAGAAATCATCTTCCCACATACGAACATTCCTGATTTTATGTGAATAAGCATTACGTAAAAAAATATAAAGTAAAAGAAATTCTTATTTTTATTAAATAAAAAATTAATTATATATATATAATAATAAATTATTATATATATATATATATATATATATATATATATATACCGGGTGTTCCAGACCATCCGTACAGCCATTTTAAAATCAAAAATTCGTGTTTTTGTGAAAAATGTTTCAGAAGAAGGTTGTTTACGACAAAGGGGGCCATCTATCTGTATAATTAGTTTTGACCTTGAACATCGTTTTAAAGGTCATTTGAAGGTCGAATTGTTTTTTTTTTTAATGGGAACCCCTATTTTTGACATCGGATTCGAAAAGAGCGGGAAATTTTACGTCCACAAAGATATTTTAAAATTTTTTTTCATGGCCTTGAGAAGGTCGATTTAAGGTCAAATGCTTGAAAAACTGCCTAAAAGCGTTTTTTTAGTTTTTAAGATATCGAAAAATGACCTTTACAAAATTTGTTCAGAACAGAGTGGGCCACCCAATGCACCAAAAACCTTTGACCTTTAACCTCATTTTGTAGGTCATTTCAAGGTCGAAGTGTTTTTTGTAATGGAAACCCCTCTTTTTGACCCCGGATTCGCACATAGCGAAAAATCCGACGTTTGGATAAGGTATTATGTTGAGTTTCGATTGATCCACGACGTTCATCGCTAAGGTAATGTGAAATTTAGATCCAATATTATTCGCGAAACATTTACAAAATGTTTTTGACTTCCAACATCATTTCAAGGTTGCAAAAAGTAGTACAAAAATTTTAGCACTACATCTAGCTAGGGATCAGATTAAACATTGTCGTTTAAATTTTTCATTTATGGTTACTTTTCTGTTATTCTTGTTCATGTTGACAAAAAAGGTAACGTCATTGTAATTCAATAAAAAGAAAATAAATTTTCAATCACTAAAATTTGTGTACTACTTTTTGCAACCTTGAAATGATGTTGGAAGTCAAAAACATTTTGTAAATGTTTCGCGAATAATATTGGATCTAAATTTCACATTACCTTAGCGATGAACGTCGTGGATCAATCGAAACTCAACATAATACCTTATCCAAACGTCGGATTTTTCGCTATGTGCGAATCCGGGGTCAAAAAGAGGGGTTTCCATTACAAAAAACACTTCGACCTTGAAATGACCTACAAAATGAGGTTAAAGGTCAAAGGTTTTTGGTGCATTGGGTGGCCCACTCTGTTCTGAACAAATTTTGTAAAGGTCATTTTTCGATATCTTAAAAACTAAAAAAACGCTTTTAGGCAGTTTTTCAAGCATTTGACCTTAAATCGACCTTCTCAAGGCCATGAAAAAAAATTTTAAAATATCTTTGTGGACGTAAAATTTCCCGCTCTTTTCGAATCCGATGTCAAAAATAGGGGTTCCCATTAAAAAAATAACAATTCGACCTTCAAATGACCTTGAAAACGATGTTCAAGATCAAAACTAATCATACAGATAGATGGCCCCCTTTGTCGTAAACAACTTTCTTCTGAAACATTTTTCACAAAAACGCGAATTTTTGATTTTAAAATGGCTGTACGGATGGTCTGGAACATCCGGTATACGAGGTGTGTTCAAAAAGTAACGAGAATTTTTAAATTTCGCGGGTTTGGAGAGTCCGCTTGTATAAAATTTTTTTTTATTATGTTGGTACACATGCCCCTGAAGTACGATAAAATTTTCAGCAATATTCATTGCTTACTTTTTAAGTGGCAGCCGCTAACGTTAGACGTGTTTTTCGAGCTCGGCGATTTTCGTTTGTGAAAAAAAATGGATCAAAGAATTTGTACTAAATTTTGCGTAAAAAATGAAATAAAGTGTAGTAAAGTTTGTCAAATGTTAACAAAGGCATATAGTGAGTCTGCTATGAGTAAAGCAAGGATTTATGAGTGGTATAAGCGTTTCCAAGATGGCCACGAAAACGTTGAAGATGACGAACGACCCGGACGCCCAAGCACATCAACAACCGATGAAAACGTGAAAAAAGTGAAAGAAATGGTTATGAACGATCGCCGAATCACAATCAGAGAAGTCGCTGATGATGTTGGCATATCAGTTGGCTCATGCCATCAAATTTTTTCGAATGTTTTGGGTATGAAACGTGTGGCAGCAAAATTCGTTCCAAAATTGTTGAATTTCAAACAAAAACAGCGGCGAATGGAAGTTGCTCAGGAGTCGCTAAATGAAGTCAATAACGATGCAGAACTACTAACACGTGTTATAACAGGTGACGAAACATGGGTTTACGGATATGATGTCGAAACTAAGGCTCAATCGTCCCAGTGGAGGCATTCTGGATCGCCAAGACCGAAAAAGGCTCGACAAGTACGGTCGAATGTGAAGGTTATGCTCACTGTGTTCTTCGATTTTAATGGCATAGTGCATTATGAATTCTTGCCACAAGGTCAAACAATCAATAAGCAGTACTACCTACAAGTTCAACGTCGTTTGCGTGAAGCAATCCGAAAAAAACGCCCGGATTTGTGGCAAAACAATTCATGGCTTTTGCACCACGATAATGCGCCTGCTTACACTTCATTGCTTGTTCGTGAATTTTTGGCCAAAAACGAAACTGTAACGATGCCTCAGCCTCCATATTCGCCAGATATGGCTCCATGTGACTTTTTTCTATTTCCAAAAATAAAGAGAACATTAAAAGGCCGTCGTTTTACAAGCATAGATGACATTAAAAGCGAATCGCTGAAAGAGCTAAAAGCTATTACAAAGATCGAGTTTCAAAAGCGTTTCGAGGATTGGAAAAAGCGTTGGCAAAAGTGTATTGTATCCGAAGGGGACTACTTTGAAGGCGACAACATTAATGTAGATGAATAAATAAATATTTTTTCATAAAACGAAAATTCTCGTTATTTTTTGAACACACCTCGTATATACAGGATGAGCCATTTTTATCTACGCACCCGGATTTCGCGGAACCTAAGTGAGATAGGGAAAAACGGTTCAGACAAAAGTTGTATGGGGCAAAGTGGTTCACTCAGTGACGCTAACGTCTTTGACCTTGGACTTGACCTTCAAAGTTATTTCAAGGTGAAAGTGTTTTTTTAATGGTAACACCTATTTTTGACCACGGATTCAAAAAGAGCGGGAAATTTCACGTCCGAAACGGTATCTGAACATTTTTTATGACCCTTACAAGGTCATTTCAATGTCAAATTTCAAAAAAACTTGCTTTTACACGAAAATTGGATTTTTTCTAATGAGAACGCCTATTTTTTCAAATCGGGTTCGGAAAGAGCCAGAAATTTTACGTCCGAAACGGTATTTCAAATTTTTTTCATGACTTTCGGAAGGTCACCTTACCACTTCTGAAGTTACCTTGCTCGAGGTTGTTCGCACGAGTGAAGCGAGTGAAAACATCGAGCAAGGTACAAAAACACTTCTCGCACCAGGTCGAAATAATATTTTTTAGCATAGGAACCTCAAAACAGGGTATCAAAGTAGTCGTTTTGAAGTTAGAATGATGAAAAATGATATTCCAAGTTTGTTTTGTCTTGAATGGATCTACTAGAGGAGGTTAATTCAAGGTCACATAACATAATACGCTTATCCTATCTTTAGCGTTACCTAGGAACAACGACGTGGACTTAATAGGATTGTATTTCCTTTGGGGTACTTGATTAAAGTGAGTTCCCTTGCCTCTCACTGTGTGGGATGCTTGTTTAAAGTGAGTCTCCTTGCCTCTCGCTGTCTGGGGTGCTTATTTAAAGTAAGTCCCGTTACCTCTCACTGTTTAACCACGATGGAAATGTTCAAAGTTATCTCCATTTGCATGTAGGCACAATGTTAAGCGCCGTTGAAAATGGCGTACAGTGTTCAATAGAGTCTGTCTCGGAATTTGTGCACATGCTTGACGAATGCGATATTGCATGTTTATTTGTTCTCAGTATTTTAAAAATTAAATCTTTTTTAATTGTCTCGTCTATAAGTAAAATTATATCATAGCTGATTATCTAGCTGATCAAATAGCTGACATGATAATGGTTTTAGAGCAATGTAATGGTAATTATCGTGCAGTAGCTAGGCGGTATGCTGAGCTGTATTTATAAAGGAAATATCCTACTACTATGTCAATGAGAACTATAACCGAAAGGGCTCGTGGTGGCCACTTTATTCGTTAGTGCAGGTACCACGAATACGATGAAAACGACGCTTGTGTCGTGACTATTTTAGTAATAGTTCATTTCGATCCACATATTAGCATATGCCAAATTGAAAGAGAAATTGATATTATTCGTGCGACAGTTTCAAGGATTCTGAGAATTCTTAGCTATGACGCCTACCATATAACTTTAGTTAGGAACTAAGTCAGAACCATATTCAATTGTGCATTGAATGTTGTCACTGGGCTTTAAGAATGATAGAAAATTATCCAGACTTTTTCAAATACATCCTTTTTTTGGATGAGGCAACATTTTATAGCGATGGGCGCCTAAACAGGCACAATTACCATTATTGGGCAAATATGAACCCTCACAGGCCTGGAGCGATAAATCATCAAAATCGGTGAAGCATCATGGTATGGTATGGAATACTTAATAGTTATTTGATGAGTCCGTATTTCTTTAAGCGAAATGTCGATAGAAACAACTATTAAGAGCTATCAAGAGACCACTTGACAGTACTTTTGGAAAACGTAGTCCTAGCTACAAGACAAAGAATGTGATTTGAGCAAGATGGTACAGCACTGCATTTTGCATGAATAATTCGAGAATTTTTAAATAACAACTACAATGAGAGGTGGATTGGACGAGAAAGTCTGGCCTCTTAATTCACCAGATATGACGTCACAAGAATTTTTCTTATATAAAGGTACGTATTAAATGTAGTTTTTGCTCAACGACTTATAACAAGGGAAGATTGTACGGATAGAATTCGTAGATCTTATGATTACGTCTGTGCCTGGAAACTAACGGATGTAACTTTGAACGTTTACTCCGTGGATAGATAATATCAACCGAAGTAATGATGGTAAGAAACAAGGGGACTCACGTTAAACAAGCAGTCCAGTGAAAAGCAAGAGGACTCCAAAGGAAACAGACCTTACTATGTGCGCGTCGATAACACTAAAAGTAAGGATCCAGTATTATCAGAAAGAGCTTAAAACCAATAGAGTAACGTTGTTATAATTTTTGCAGATAAATGACCGTGGAAACCCACAAGACAGTATTTTTAGCGATTTTCATGGAAATTTGAACATTGACCCTACTTAAAACGATTCAGCCTCCATGCGATACCATTGCGTCGCACCCCATAGAAACCTAACATCAAATTCATAATTCGCGACTACAAAAATTTTTTAATTGATCGGTTCGATTGATCAAGGCTTATTTTGCTTAAGACTACCATTTTTTAAGCATTTGATCTTAATTGAAGCTTGTGGAGGTTGTAAATGAAATGTTTGGAGAACGGTTTTAGACATAAAATTTCCCGCTCTTTCCGATTCCGACATCAGAAATAGAGATTCCCATTTTAAAAAATTATCTTAATCTTGAAATGCCCTTGAAAAATTACCTCAAGGTCAAATTGAAGGTGACCAAAAGTTGACCTCTAACGACACGAATAATTTTTATCTAAACCACTTTTTTGCATCTGGCTTGCATTCGAAGATATTTGGCTACATGAATTAAAATGAGACACCATGTAGATATTCAGTAGAATACTCCAGTGAGTTTTCTGTTTTTATTTTTAGCTTATATATATAAGATAGATTTTGATTTCTTTATATCTTCATCAATTTGTGTTTCTTGCATTGTATTAAGAAGTTTGCTGATGAATTTATTTGTATGGTTTTATAATTTAGTGTTGTATTTTACGTAAAACGTTTGTATTTTTTTTTTACTGATGGTATCTGTATGTCGTTCCAGATGATGTCGTTTAGTACGAACCATTGAATACGTATAATGTTTCGTATAACTTTTAATTAAAATCTTTCTAAGACTTCAATATTTAAATTTGAAGTCGCCCACCATAGGTCTAGATTGGTTTGATTATTGTTTTGTAGAGCGGTATATATTTTTTTTGTGTGAAGGTAATGCATGTACATGGAGATAGTGCGATCATCACCAAAAGAAAAATTAATTATTACGTTCACAATCACGCAGACACACCAGTGAAAATTATTTATAAGTAACCAGTGTATCTATAAACGACAACACAGGGCCGATAACAGTGTCATCTGTTTGTCCTGTGATCTCCCAAACAAAACAATAATATAAAAAAATTGGACAAACTTTTTTCACTGTCTAGAAAATTGCTTTATGTCGGGAGACAATTATAATGCGCAGTATCCGTGATGGGGATTAAGTTCACCAGCTGCAATCCTTAGAGGTAGAATTTTTTATGAAAAACCGACATATTGATCAATAGATCATGTTTGAACCTAACATCGGACCATTCGCCATTATTAATTATACTGTACACACAAGTACTCAACAGCTTTATTAAAACAGACTGGAAAAAATTTGCTTTTTACACTGATGAACTCTTACGTATAACATACTTCTTAAATAAGATAACATAGAAAACAGTGTTCAAAACCTTAAATTACTATTAACCAAAGCTGTAAATAAATGCTCAATAATTGTAAATATTTAAGAAATTCAACAATTCCTTTCAATATAATAGTAGAAAAAATTAATATTAACTGTTACGCCTCGTACATATTTTCTATGAGAAAGCAAATAAATGATCATATATAATCATCAAATAAAATTTAAAATAGGTTGTACTAAATAAATTTGTTCGATTATTTTATCAGATCTACGTTTCCGGTTCTATAAAATTAGTAAAAAAGAGAACATTTTATAAACATTTCACAAACATTTCAGTGTTTCAGGTTACAAATATTTTTATTGAAAAATGTATTTAAAATGTTCTTCAAGCGTTTTCAAAATGTTAACTTACTCTAGAAACTAAAAAAAATAGTTGGAAACATTTCCCGTGTCCAAAACGTTTTAAAAACGAATACATATGTAAAGTATATGTACCGAAAGAAAGGCGTGGATCAAATCAGCTTTAAGAGTAGCGATAGGTTTCCCTTTTACTAATACTGTATATGTTTCATCTTTTTCGGTAGTCATCAGATTTCCAAACCAAGATTTTTTTGTCAATTCTGGCGAAGATTCTGGAGTAAGTTGAACCTAAAAATACAGGAATAAAATTATTTAAAATTAATATCTTATTTGGAATGGAGATTTTAGTAAATTAATACATATTTGTACAATAATTAAATAATGAGTTCTTAATTTTTCTACATTTTAAAGGATTTTTATAGTCATCAATAAACTTTATCTTTTTAAAATAGAAATTAATCAATAAATGATAATTTTTCTTTTAATTTGATATTCTAAGTAAACTAGAGTAGCTTTACTGAAATCAATCATCACTGTAGAATCAGCCTTATTAAACACACACATACACACACACACACACTCTCTCTCTCTCTCTCTTTTTCCAAGTACTATTCCAAGTATCCATTGAAGCGGTTCTAACACTTAATATTTTATTTTGATTGTTCTCCAATTCTTCTCGATGCCTCTATGTTATATTACTCAACTCAGTCTTTATTAAGGAGGTTACTACTATACCTTACCATCACTTTCAAAAGTTTGAAGCTTACTATTACACTAGCGCCACTCGTAACGCTATCTAACGAATATGAAAATTTTGTAAGTGACTAGCTATACAGATCACGCTCACCTGTGTGCACACGCACTCATTCGAGTCAGTGTTCATGTGTACACACAGAGTGAGACTAGCGAGAGAAAGAGAGAGAGAAAGAGAGATTTGGCAACATCGCGTCGCCATTTTTTCTCATCTGAAAAGTTTCTATGCAGCAGGTGAAGAAAAACTAGTAGCTTTTTTGACTGAAAAATTAGAGAATAAGAAACTAAGAGTCACTAATAAGAAAAAATGTTTAGAAAAAATTATTAATAGGGTAAAAAGTCAATAATGTTATGTCATTTATCTACGGAAAAGTCCGTCAATTTTTTTATGTATTTACTTAGTTACAATTTATAAAAAATCGTTATTGTTCAATGGAATCCGTCAGTATTTTCATAAGTAAATAAAGAATAGTTATAATATGATACGATGTGTAAAGTTATTATGCTTCCAAAAAAATTAATTGTAATTCAAGAAGTATTTTTTTTGCGCATTTTCCAATTGCAATGTTTGTAACCCGGAATTGTTTTTGGAAAACATTTATGTCAAATTTTCGAACAAAGCTTTTTTATATACAAATAATAAAATATATTTGCAGTAGCCTGCAATATTCATCGCGGCTACACACAATATATGTATAGCAGCAAGTTGGAAGTATCGGCGGTGTTGCCACATGGTCTGCTCTTTCCTCAGCTCACGCGACTTATGCAATAAATCTAATACTATGTATCAAACTTTACATTCAAATATCTTGCTAACGGTGACGCTAGACTTCCTGACTTTTGGATGTTATCTTTATTAACTTTTGAAAAATATCATACTATTTTTGTAACAAATCGCTAAAAGCCGTTTTTATGTTATAATTGGAAATGTTTCCAAAACTAATGTGACATGGCGACTACGCCTATATGATGCGTGTTAAATTCTGAAACGTTGAGGTTTCATATCTCGTAAACCGTGACGCTACGCCTCACCAAACTTTAACTAGTAACGTGTTGCATGATAATAAATATTTGGTGTGAATTTAAGCAAAATCCTAAGGAAATGGATTTTGGATAGTAACCTCCTTAAGGACTATACTTAAGTTTTTCAAGGCCATATTCAGAATCATATAAATATATGTACCAGAAATTTATATATAATCTAGAAATTGTATAAAAGAATTTTTTGTGAAAATATTTGTATGCTTATATCGAGAGGAAATTCGAAGTTGTACAGGGCACTATAGTAAATTTACTAATGAAGTAAATGTGACCTCACTTGATAAAAATTTAAAGCGGGAAATTTTATTTTCTCTTTAAAATTTGCTTGATTATTATATTTTTAATGATTCTAACACCGTTAAAACGTTCTCTATATGGTAGTAAATATAAAACTTCATGCAATGATATACAGCAACAACAAAAGAAAAATTTCTTGATTGAAAAATATCGGAACAGAGATTAAATTATGTCAATTTTCAAGCTTTATAATATTTATTGAACATCAGAGTGATAAAATGAATAGTATCGAAAAATGTATTTGTAATCAATCACACAATTAGAAAATATACTTCAATTTAAAAAAAAACAACCACAAAATAATTTTAGTATACAGTTTAAAAATAATAAGATTTTTTTACTAACTACTACTACTTAGTATTATTATTTACTAACTACTACTATTTTGTACTTTATTACTACTATTAAGTACAAAATTTCTACAAATTTCGTGCAAATTTTGTATAAAATTTATATAAAACGTGTAAAAGACAATTTTTTTACACACGTTACATGATATGAAATAATTTGAATTTATGATGATTATCGAAATTCTTACGTCATCCACATTTGTTAATAATTTGCGTCTATGGAAACGTGGACTTCCAAGGAAAGAATTCTTTATTGTACTAAGTCTTGATCGCCAATGATGTACACCTGAACTGGTTGCAGCGTGAGGAGATCCTGAAGGAACATCGTTCACGCTAATAACTAGAATTTATGAAATAAGAAAATTATATTAGAGTAATAAAAAAACTCTTTCTTAAAGTTAAAAATAAACAATTTTTATTTTTATTGGTTTTTTATAGATTTTTATATTTGTAAGGATTTTTCAAATGACTTAGCATAAACTATTTATTCGATTTTTATTATAGTGAAAGTAAAATAAATTTTTTTATAGTAATGCACGACTATTTAATAGTGCGTCAAATACTTTTAATATTGTAATATTTTATTTTTAAACATTTTAATCAAAAAGCCACTAGTCACTAAAACCTGAATTTCCATAGTATTTTTGGAAAATTGAAGCTGATATATTTTGAGAAAATAAACTGATGCATTGCAGCTAAGTTGTTACACCCGCGTACCCATACACGCATACACACACGCACGCGTGCGTTCACGGGTAAGCCATTACTTCGCAAGACTTAGTAAGGTACTCGTGCACGAACGCAACAGGGTACCACAGGCTGGACGTGACTTGACACCTACTCAATGTATTAAGTGGATAAGGGAGTAAGAGAGAAGGAAAGCGAGCTCTACTATCGGTTAAAATATTATTAATAGACTTCCTACTTTTTAAGCGTGTGGCTCTGTGAAAGAAAATCGCACAATGCTATAAAAAAAAATAGCGTTCAAGCTTGCGCGTCAATTGGTTTATTAGCGGTCGATCTAGCTTAATTTGCAAAGTTGTAACAGCAATCAGAACGAAAAAAAATACGAAAGTTTGAACTACTTTTTACGAGGACAGCTTCAAAGACGTTCTATAAAAAATGAATAGAACATCGCAAAAAAAAATTCAGCGTATAGCTTAAAGCTTCCTCAATGCAATTGTGGTAGAATTTTTAAAAAAACAGATAATTAGTTTATTTATATAGTGCAATCTTCAAAAAAAATTATCTCTTAAATGGCTTATTAATTGACGTCGGACTTGATACAAGTTATTAAAATGATTAAACAAAATTTTCAATTATTTTGTAAATAACGTTTTCAAATATTTAAAGGCGAAGCTGCTAAAGTTTCCAACTAATTTCAATAGAAGCCGCGATTTGTATTTTTGAGTTTTTATAATATTATTATTGTTATTGTAACTTCAAGAATTACGTCCACGTGGAACGCTGCAGAGGTAAACTAGTTACCTATACGGATTATTTTTGGTTCTCTCTAGTCATGAATATGCAGGCTCGCCTTTCCCAGCATTTTGTTAAAATGGTTTTACACATATCATGACCGGACCTATAGTTTAAGATGGAATTCGAACCACGGGAATCACGGTAACAAAAATTTCTGAAAATTATCACATGACCGGGGCTCGAACCTACCTGAAAATTATCACATGTCCGGGGTTCAACCTCTTGCACAAACGCCTGTGCTCTAACCCACTGAGCCACCATGACCAAAACAAGCTCGAGTGCAACATAATATCAATAATAGCTTATCTTTTTTGGTAGTAATTATTCAAAATACTTTTTTTGAAAAAATAGTGTGATACGAATGCAATTCGCGGATATTAATAAAATTGTAATTTTTTGTCAAGCATTTATTATAGTATAAATTCGATTAAAACATTGACATTGCACATACAATTTTTTTTAATAGGCTATCTAATATGTTACTAGTACTTTTACGGCGTGGTACTAAATCAAAATACCGTTAGTCTCCACGTCGCCAAACGTAAAAGTAAATAATTAACGGATTTATACTATTGCACGCTGTTAGATGGTGGAAGGAAAGAGATTCTAGGTTGGAGCCGAGTTTCGAGAAAAATTACCGTGCGCCTTCAGTTAAACCAATTTTCTTATAAAACCATTATCAACTATCTTAATCTTAACATTTTTTAATATCTGTTCAATATCGATTTCTATTAAATCACGAATATTGAACCGGATTGGAAAAAAATCCGCTTTACGTCTATTTCTGAATCTCACGGATAGAAATGGAAAATAATTAAAGAAGAATTCATCCAAATCTACTAATTATGTATCTCGATCAATAGTTGGAATCTTAAACCTATCAATCGGTTATTTATTTTTAATTTTTATAACAAAAATGTTCGCTTAAAAGCCGATCTTCGAGTTTGATCTGGTTACTTTAGTAGTTACGTTCGTTTGAGGTACATCAATCTAAAAATTTCTGTGCAGTAGTTCCAGCTCTGTAAAATATTGGAGAACGTGAACTTCTTATAAGTAAAAGTGTATTTTCTTGTGCTATGAACATTGATCAAAAAAAGTAAAGAGATTACTATTAATAAAGACAAATTGGCAATCATTGACTCTAGAATACTTGTTCAAGCGGCTTTAATCAATTACTATTCTACAAGAAAATTAAGATATATACCATAGACAGGCTAACCCAACTTCAACCTAAATTACATCATCCCCACGAACCCTTACAACCCTTATAAACTACCCCTACTAACCTCCAAGCAGGCTAACACACCGTAGCCTGGGTAGAACGAGTTTAATCAATTGTTTATCTATAAGAAAAATAAAATCTCAACCGCAGATAGGCTAACCCATTTTAACCCTGATATACCTCATCTCCACAAACCCTTACAACCTTTATAAACCACTTCTACCTGAGGAGGGGTATATCAGAGATAATGTCAATGAGATATTTATTTTATTACAGGAAAGCAGTTGATTAAACTGGCTCTACCAAGGGTTAGATGTGTTAGCCTGCTTGGGGGTTGATAAAGGGGATTTATGAGGGTTGTAGGGGTATCTAGAGATAGAGTACATCAAGGAGAAAACAGGTAAGCCTATCTGTGGTTCAGATGTTACGTTCCTCATAGAAAAGCAGTTGATTAAACTCGCTCTGCCCAGAGTTAGGTAAGTAAGCCTGCTTGAGGTTAGTAGGGGCGTTTTATGAGGGTTGTAAGGGTATCTGGGGATCAAAGAGAAAACAGATAAACCTATCTGTGGTTGATATTTTAGGTTCCTCATAGAAAAGCAGTGGATTAAACTCACTCTACCTAGATTTAGGTGGGTTAGTCTGTTTCGGGGTTGGTAGGGATGGTCTTTAAGGATTATAAGGGTTTATGGGGATGATGTAATTTAGGTTGAAGTTGGATTAGCCTGTTTATGGTATGTATCTTAATTTTCTTGTAAAACAGTAGTTCATTGAAATCGCTTGACACAAAATTCGATGTCGACACGTTCAAAGCCGTATGTTGAGAGGTACAATATTTATGAAATTGAAAAACTTTAAAATGCAATATCTCAAAGAAAAAATAAGCTATTTGAGCAAACTCAACGGCATTTGAAAGGGTTAGACTGCTACATTAAGGCGTCGTTTGTAGTTTTTTGTGTACAGAGAATGTTGTGGTGCTACATAACCTCAAATATAATCGCCATTTTCGCACTTTTAGGTTAGGATATCTCAAAATCCTAACGTGCTAGAGAAATTCTGTGGCCGGATTCGGCTTCAGCGCCAAAAATTTTTCGGGGAACTATGTATGGTTTGCTTGTGCAAAAATCTTGTCGGACTGTGTTATCTGCGCTGGTATTCTCTTTAACAAGATTTTGTCATAAGATAAGATGCATTTTTTTTCAATAATGAAGATGAGATATATGTAACATATATCTTGATTCCCTTATAGTTTTCTTCCATGATAAATTTTGTAATAATGACAAGAAGGGAAATAGTGAGAGATAGAAATTCATTTAATTTTAATTATATTCAGCAACGTTTCGTCAGCACATTTGCTGTCTTCATCAGGCTTTATTAACAGAAAAACAACAAATTATTAACAATAAAGTAGCAAATGTAATTTTAAAGCCAACTTATATGTATATGTATGTACCTAATTTCTCTCGTAGTCAAATTATTATAGGCTAAAACGAACAACTCGTAGCCAGTCAAGTTACAATACAGTAAGAAATCAAGTATTTCAACACACACACACATATATGTATATATATTCTTCATCTATCATCCCTTCCTCATCGATCTTAATAAAGACTTATATACGAGTATGTGACGCATAAGTAACACTACCCAACCGCTACTCACCGATCAGAATGAAACTTTGCACATCCATAGAACACTAAAAAATATGGAACCCCTATTTTTTCATTTTCTCGGAATTAGCTTTTAAGGGGTAGAAACCACCTCTAGAAAATGATAAAGACGGAAACCTCCATGAACAAAATATAAAAAAATATATATATATATATATCATACAAACTCATTCTCCCAAACCTACCCACAGAACCCACTCAAACGAAACATCCGCCTTACCCCAAATCTTACCCCTTTTCCAAATCATCCCATCCCCTTACCCGAACATAGAGCGTCCAACTAAACTAATTAAACATTTTCGTCTTGACTATACCACTCTCACGTAAATCAATCAAACCTTATTATCGCTTCCACATAAACTAACCTCATCACAACCACCCACCCACCCACCCTGGATAGGCTTTCAAGGGGTAGAATCCAACCTCAGATACTTAAACCCAATTTCCTTGATCCCCGAGCCCTGTAACCTGCAAGGCTATAACCCCAGACCCTTCACCCCAATTTCCTTAACCCCCGAGCCCTATAATCTTCGAGGCTATAACCCCAGACCCTTCACCCTAATTTCCTTAACCCGAGAGCTCTGCATCCTGCGAGGCTATGACCTCAAACTCTTAACCCTAATTTCCTTAACCCCCGAACCCTGTAACCTGCGAGGCTATAACCCCAGACCCTTTACCCCAATTTCCTTAACCCCCGAGCCCTATAATCTTCGAGGCTATAACCCCAGACCCTTAACCTCAATTTTCTTAACCCCCGAGCCGGGTTTGTGGACTTGTCCTATCTTTCCTTCCTTAAATATTCGTTTTAAGTTATGGGAACGAATATTTTAATCTTCGGAAAATTCATGAAATTCGATATTTTGAAAAATGAGTATTTTGGCTGAAAGAAATATTTAAGCAAACTCAACGGTATTTGGAAGAACAGTGTAGGTCTACTTTAAAGTGATTTTTTTTAAGGAAAGAAGTTGC